CATGCGTGGGTACAAAACAGGAATCTATTAGTGTTTTCTTCTAGCTCAATTAATTCAATTAATGGCTTGAATACAATGAAAAGAATAAATCAAGTATTGAAGAGTAGACACAGAAAAATGGACTTAAAAGCAAAAGAAAGTGGGCTGAGGCTGAGTGTGGGCGAAATAAAAGACTGCTACTACATTTGAAAATATATGAGACGCGTGGTACAACAGGGCTCCAGAGGTCAGCTAAACCTTTTCATTGGTGACACCCTGTGCGTGTGAAACAGCACCCTGTACACCAGCGACATCACAAGCGCAAACATACACATCAATCAAAATGAAGAGAAATATTGATTGTTTTTTTTCATCAAGAAAAATGCTGCGGTGCCCGTCACACCTGTCCTTGGCCCTGGAAGGCCAGACCCAACATCTGGGGGGGGGGGGGGGGGGGGGGTCCGAGGGGCCATCGCCACCAGATATTTACCCCCGCTCGCCCTTCTGACCTGATCCTTGGCGCAGATAGACTCATCTGACACTAAAAAAAACAAACATTTATCTGCAACTTTATTCCTCTTAACGATCATTTACGTCATGTGTGAAGAAATAAGTAAAACTTTAAATGTATAATTGCAGCAATTGAAACAATTGAAAATGTTTGGGTTGCACATAAATGATGTGCTGGTGCCCCTAAATGTAAAAGGTAGTCTGGAGCCCTAAAGAATCTCTGTGGCCTTGGTGTGCTCCTATTGGCTGTACCAAAAGGAATTGGCTCTACTTGATCCATAACAACCTCTTAATTTGGGACCCCATCCTCTCGTGAATCAGGGAAACCACACGATTGGTATCCAGTGGAGGACAAAAATGAGTTGACAGTCACGGCATTATGCGTGACTATCAATGTGACGGTGTCTTTATCTCTCTGCAAACACAATCGCCTCGTGTTCAGCGTGAGGTGATGATTGAAACTACCAAACCACCAGTTGGCAACGTGACATTTGGAACTTATGTGGGGAAACACTCGAGTGTCGTCCACACTTTCAGTTCTAAAGCTCATGTGACTGGCGCTGGACCTGGACTGCTCCTCAGTAGTGGACATGCAGGAATGTTAAGAGGGTGGAAATACACTGTTTAATCCCAAACATCCTTATCAAAGCCTGCAGGGCTGCTCTAACTGGACCATTGTTCAGATTGTGAAGGAGGGAGAGAGAGAGAGCATGGGGTAGAAACTCAGTGTGTCCTTCACTTGTTCTTAATAAGCGAAGCGTTTCAAATGAATACACAAGATCTCGCCACACTTCAGACGCATCTCGTGACGCCTCAGGGAGCTCCTGGCCGCCTGGCTTACAAAACACTGGTATAGACAGTAAGATACGCATTCAACTGACTGCACACCAAAGCCAACACAGGCAGGAGGGGAATCAAAACTAATCACAATAATACAGAAAAGGGAAATGATTGAGGCCAGACAAGAAGAAGAAAGTTATTAAGGGAATGGGTAGCCGTGCCAGCTGTGAAGCCATTTTTAGCCCATCCAACCTCACAGCTGCTTAAAAAGCCCTGAAATAACAAGCCTGTTTGTGACGAAAGGTTCCTCCTAAAAAGGGCCAATGGACGTCACTCTGAGTGGTCTGAAATAGCCACTTGACAAAGACACAATATCCTCTGGGTGAAACACCTCAGCGCTGTCGCGCACCCACGCCGCTCC